AAAAAAAAAAAAAAAAAAAAAAAAAGTCAGTGGTACGACCCCTGCCTAGCATGTGTGAAGCCCCGAGTTCAGTCCCCAGTATTGCGGTGAGGTGGGAGATTTACACCCGTTACCTATCACTGCCCCCCTCACATCTTTCCCAATTGTATTAATCAGCTCAGGCTGCTGATATAGTAAAATGCCATAGACTGGGTAGCTTAAACATTAGAAACTTGTTTTTTCACAGCTCTGGAATGTGGAAAGTCCCAGATCAGGGTCTGGCAAGATCAGTGTCTGGCAAGATCAGTGTCTGGCAGAGGACCTCTTCTTGGCTTTTTGCTGGTGGCTGCCTTTTTGTTGTGTCCTCTCATGGCAGGTGGTTGGGAGAAGAGTGGTGTACAGCAAGCTGCCTGGTGTCTCCCCTTTGAAGGACACTAACCCTACAGGATCATACTCAATCTTGATGACCTCATTTATCTTCAACTGCTGCCTTATGGGCCCTATCTCCAAATGCAGCCACACTGGGGGTTAGGGCTTTAGTATGTGAGAGAGATGATGGTTTGGTCCATAGCAGCAGCCCTAGGCAACCACTAATATACCTTCTGTCTCTACAGACTTTACTCTTCTGGACATTTGCTCGAAATGGAGTCATATTGTACGTGGCCATTTGTATCTGGTTTCTTTGACTTGTAATGTTTTCAAGATTCGTTACTGTTGTAGTACTTCTTTCCTTTTAATTAATGGCTGAATAATATTCATTTGTATGAATCTGCCACGTTTTGTTTCTTCATTCACCCGTTGATGGACATTTGATTTGTTTATATCTTGGGCCATTATGAGAAATGCTGTTGTGAACATTCATGTCATAAGTTTTTGGATGAACACATGTTTTTAATTCTTTTGCACCTGCAAGAGCAATTTCTGAGTCATATGGTAACTCTCTATGTTAAGCTATTTTAGAAACTGACAGACTCTTCCCCAAATGGTCCATATCATTTACGTCCCTATCAGCCGTGTATAAAAGTTCCAGTTTCTCTACATTCTTGCCAACTTTTGTCAGTATGTGTGCTTTTCATGGTGGCTGTCCTAGTAGCTGTGAGGCAGTGTCTCACTCTGGGTTTGATTTGTATTTCCCTCGTGCTTAATGACGTTGGATATCTTTTCTTGTGCTAATTGGACAGTTTTGTATGTTCTTTGGAGAAATATCTGTTCAGATCCTTTGCTTATTTTTAAATGGGGTTATTTGCCTCATTGAGTTATGAGGTATTTATGTATTCTGGATACTAGACTCTTATCAGATATATGATTTATAAACACTGGATTTTCTTCCAATCTATATTTTCACTCATGTCCTTCAAGCACAAATTTAATTATGAAGCCCAACACATCTTTTGTTTCTTATTGTTTTTGTTATATCTAAGAAACCATTTCGTAATCCATTCACCATGATTTATGCCTATGCTTTCTTCTAAGAGTTTTATAATTATAGCTCTTATGTTTAGGGTTTTGATCTGTTTTGAGTTAAAATTTATATACTTTGAGATCACATGCTGTTTTTGAAAACAAGTTTAATGATAATAAGGATTTTTTTAAATAGGCAAATTATTTAATTGAGAATTGCCTGATATTTCATTAATATACCATTTAATGGAAAGAAAATAATCTCTAGTTCCTAATGAGCCTGATACACTCAGTATTTACTTTTAAAAGTTGGTAAACTACTAATTGTTTTTAAAAAAGACTTTTCATATTTTTGTATTATCAAAAATTAACTCCTTTTGACAATTTTTAAATAAAAGAAGGTGTATTTTAACATGTCATACAAGTAATATTTTTAAAATGTATTAGACAATTCTTTATTTTCCCTGCTATGATTATATGGTTTCATTTCAGTGCATTAGTTCTCAGGTGGTTTTGTCCCTCAGAGGACTTTTGGCAGCACTGAGAGACATTTCTGGTTGTTACAACTGGGGAGATGGTGCTACTGGAATCTCTGAGACAGGGATGCTGATATCCTACAGTGCTCATGACAGCCTCCACAAGGACATGGCCAGCTCAAGATGCCTTTGTGCTGAAGTCTTGCCTTATCTAAATCAATAGCCTCTCCCAGGTAGATTCCAGAAGCAATTTCATAGATTTCTTTCATCACAATACTGAGACTTTTGGGGGCCAGAATATCCCCTAGTCCCCTAGTGCCATCAAAACCCTCTACAGTGACAAAAGTCCTGGGCATTCCCTTGAGGGGACCATTGGGAAAACAGAAACACTGGCTTTCAGGACTTAATTCATTTTATATTTGTTTGGATTTTTAAATTTTTAAATATATTTGGGTAATATATTCCCTGCTAGCTACATTTTTGGGCAGCCAATCTCCCGCTTAAGTGCATTTTCCTTCCGGTTCTGTAACAACAGTAATAAGGAATCATCATCCGTGGTTGTTCACTACTGCAGCACTGGGCTGAGCACTCTTCCTGAGTAGGCTGACTTAATTTCCTCAACAAGTGTATGAGAGAGTGACTGTCATTATTCACATTTTACCGTGAAATTAGGGGACTTTTCCAAGACCGTATAGTTATATCATCATTACTCCATGTCGGAGCTTAGGCTAACACGGGGTCCACTGTGACATGCAGGCATGTGGCAAAGAGGCTGGAGGATTCACTGTGGCTACTGTAGCCACATCCAGGCATCTGTAGGGCAGCAAGGTAGCTTTCATGTACATATACCATAGTAAGTTCTCTGCCATGGGGGGATAGGAGGAGCACACACAGCCAACCCTGTATAACTTTGTCCACAGAAGTATGGCTCATCCCGGAGCATCACCATCCTGCCTGGCATAGTGGAAAATATCTGGGACAGCTGCTTAAGGAAAGTTGGGATATATGAGGCTAACATTCCTCATACTCACCCCCAAATTAGGCAAGACTTGATTTTATCTCTCTTAATTGTCTTCCCATTAAACACTCCTGTTCCCAAATGTCCCTTCTGACTCAGGACTTAAAAGCATTTGCGCGAATTCCAGCACCAGACCTCAAGCCCCTCGTCTTGACCTTGCATTCTGTGGGCCCTGGTCACCAACAGACCTCCCCAAGGCGGGTCATGCCCTGCTCTGCCCATTTGCAGCCAGCACTCTTCTTTAAACAGCAGTGTGGGGTTAGACAGTGGGAAAATATCTCATAAGAATCACACGCTCACTGATGGTCACTTCTACCTCCCAGGCTTTGTGCCAGGCACACAGCTCTCTCCATGTACCTCTCATCTTCTCCAAAGGGGCTTTAGAAAAAGGTTTGGGGAGAGTGGGAATGGTGAAAGATAAGCATTTGGGTGCTATCAAAATTTGAGATGGAACGACTCTTCGATTTAGCCAATTGGAAGGTACAGAGAGAAGTTGTGCACCTGCCTTCCAGGTATCCTCCCTCTACTAGCTCTCTGAGTGCCTGGGGGCAGGAGGAGCACAAAGAGCAGAGATGAAGGTTCCCTCTCCCCCAGATCTGAGGAGGGACCCTGGGTTTTCCCTTACATTCCTTTGGCAAGTCTTTCCTTGCTCTGAGCCTCAGTTTCCCCTTTAAGGGAAGATACATACATTAGATGATCTCTAAACACCCTCATAGCTTCGACTCTTGAAGGTTCTGGGGACTGAGGTAAAGTGAAGCTCACTGGGTAATTGAAATCCATCCTAATTAGGAAACTGCTTTAGTAGTAAGTCCACACCTAGTAGCCTGCCTTTGTTTGAAGAAGAGATCACAACAATTGGTGGGTGCTATTTTTCTTGAAAGACCCATCTCCAGGGGCAACATTCAAAATATTTAATAGTCAGTGTGTCCTGAGAACAGACCCATAGCAGGCTAGAAGGCAGCCTTAAGTGCTACTGTGTGAACGCCTCGCCCACCTCACAGTTAGGCTGGGCCTTTCTCCTGTTTTGGGGAGGGGGTTCTGCCTCTTTATGTGTGATTCTCTGTCCAACGCCCTACCTCAACCCCCTTGGACTTCGTTTTCCAACCTCTCGATACACAACGCTATAAGTATCTTTGTGCCTCTGAACATCAGCTTAATCCCATCTATCCCTCAACAGCCATTCCGAGTGCTCTGTGCACTCTGCCTATGCCACCTGCCCTGCACCTTGACCTCCTGCCTTTAAAACATTAGAAGCAAGAACACCCTGTCTTTACTGCTGTGTGATGTTGGGCCAGCCCCTGTCCATTTTGGGCTTTCTGATTCCATGCATGTAGTAGAAGGGACTTGGATGGGTTCCTGCTAGTCAATGATGAGTTTCTGAATTGCAAGACTTCCTCTGCTGACCACTCTTTCTTTCTCTTTCTCTGTCTCTCTCTCTCTCTCCTCCTCTTTTTCCTGCCCCCAACAACCTCCATCATAGAATGCACTGCTGCCTGCAGGCCTGAGGCAGAAGGATCAGACCACCAAGGCACCCACAGGCCCCTTTAAAAGGGAAGAGCTCTTGGATCACTTGGAAAAGCAAGCCAAGGAGTTTAAGGACCGAGAAGACCTGGTCCCCTACACAGGGGAGAAACGAGGTACCGAATGATGTTGCTCATGTGAACATGTCATTCTCCAGGGATGGCTGAGGGCCACCTATGTGCCAGGCCCTGAGTTGCACCAAGGGTGTGGGGAATTCCTTGTCTTCATACCTTCTGGGCCAAGAAACACAGTCCCAACTCCAAGAGTACTGATGAATGCTGTAGTTTAAGTTTGGGAATAGACTAAAGATCCACCCAGAACAGCAAAACTTTTCCTTAAATCTCCTCTGACTAAAGTATCCTGATTATTTTTCATTCAAACCTAAACACTTTTGAGTGAAAAAAGAAACTATTGATAATACCAGGATATGAGGCCCAAATGAGGACAATCCTGTGCAAATGAGAAGAGAAGAGGCATCATCCTAACTTTTCTTCCCCGCCTCCCCCATCTCTCTCTCTCTCTCTCTCTCTCTCTCTCTCTCTCTCTCTCTCT